AAGAGAGAAAGCACTCTCCAGGGAAAATGACCAGACCCTTTTCCTCTATTCTCTCGGGATTTGGGGGAAGCAATAAGCACACATGCTCGATGTTTTTCAAGCCACGAGGTCAGGGACTCAAACAGCGCAGTCAGTCTGTGGAATCCAGCCATCTTAGACCACATCACTAGCTGGCTAGGTTTTTTTACTCTCTTTTTCTTTTTTAAAGAGAAAGCGAGAAATCACCCCTCACACACAGGGGGTATGGCCATGCCACAATCCCTTCTCTTCTATTCTCCCCTCAGGATCTTGGGCATGCATGCATACACACCAGGTGTGAATTTTAAGCTGCCAGGGCCAAGACTCAAACTGCGGTTGACTGTGTGGGAGTCCAGTCACGTAACCATTAGGCCATCTGCTAGTGTTTTTTAATAGCATCTTTCTTCGGAATTCTTTTTTTAAAGAATTATTTTACCTTATGCGCTATTATTATTGTTTAATTTGCTATAGTTATCAGAGACAGAAGGAAAGCAAGAAAGCAAGGTGCCAGATCCAGGACTCGAATCACAGTCGGCCATGGGGAAGTCCAACACCCCAACCACCATACTAACTGCTGGCCCCCCTTTGGAATTCTTAGAGAGAATCCCACAGGTGACAGCCATTAACTCAGCTTTTCTGAAACGGTGTTATCAGAGCTATTAATAAGGTGTTACATGGATCCCTCCCCCCAAAAAAATTCATTGCTTAAGTAAGTTTGGAAAATGTTGCATATATTAAGTTATAAAGTCCGTTCTGTAAAGGAACCTGTTCAATTTTATTTAAATTGCTGATTCTTGAGTTTATTTGACCACAAAACCCTTTTAAGGAACATCTATTACCATCTCACTGAATTACTTCTGTGAAAATGTCTCTCTCAAGAATGGGAGAAACATGTCAACATTGGGAACACAAAGGAATCACACATAAAACGGTTTTCAAAATTAGTGTAAGTCAATGATTTGAAACCTGGATAATCTTGTCCTTCTACGAGGCACTTCCTCAATGTTAAATACAGCAAGGAGAGCTGAAATGAGATTAAGGCGAACAAGCAAAAGCCTACAAAGAACAGTACTGGGCTGCTCTGCTTAGTCAGGGCCTGGCCAGGAGAGAAAATAACAGCATTCAGTGGTGTCTTCTTTTACCGCCTTGACAGAGGAGACATATACACTCTTGAACTTCCTCCAAAAGGTTCAGACTAAAGTTCAAAGCAGCCACATACAAACGAGTTCATCTTCATTCCTCCAGAAGCCAAATAACCTAGTCTAGGATTTCTAAGAGAAGACATCAGTGGCTTATGCTGGCAAAGGAATCCCCCCTTATACTCCTTAGATGCCATCCCAAGTAGCACCCAGACACTATAAGAGGACACACTTCCTGGTGTTCTTCTTTGTGGCAGGATAAAGCACAGCCCGGACAGCTTCTGAAAATACTTCATGTACCCCATCCTGCATCAGGGCTGAACATTCCAGATACTTCACAGCCCCTACCTGCTTAGCCAGGGAAGTGCCTTGCTGAGGAGTTGTGGGTACTAGACTCTGCTCCTTCAGCTTCTTCACTGTCTCAAGATCACTCCGCAGATCCCTCTTGGTGCCTACCAGCAGGACGGGTACGTTGGGGCAATGATGGGAGACCTCTGGGTGCCACTTATGCCTCACGTTGGCATAAGACGATGGGTTGCCAATGGAGAAACAAATGACAAAGATATTGGTCTGTGGGTAAGAGAGTGTTCTCAGGCGATCATACTCCTCTTGGCCAGCAGTGTCCCACAGGTTCAGGCTGACGATTTGGCCATCCACAGATGTCTGGGTGCTGTAGTTGTCAAAGACAGTGGGAATGTACTCCTCAGGAAAGGCATTTGTTGTGTAACTGATAAGAAGGCAGGTCTTACCTACAGCCCCATCTCCCACAACCACACATTTGATTGCCTGCATTCTTCCCTTGGAGTCCTATGTACAAAAAAAGAAAGAATGTTCAGAGGTATTTGGTTAATTTTGAAAGCCAATGCTTTATAAACATTTCTCTGAGGAGAAAGAGAAGGGGTAAGCTCTTCAATCCCCTCTCTCCTTAACACCATGGAAGAATCAACTGGGGAGACCAGCAGATGGCATAATGGTCATGTTGCTGGACTCCCATGTAGTCAACCATGGTTTGAGTCCCGGACCCAGTGGCTTAAACTCATGCCAGGTGCATGTGTGTGCATGCCCGAGATCCCAAGAGGAGAAGGGATTGCAGCGTGGCCATCCCTCATGGGGTTGATTTCTGGCTTTCTGACTCTCTGTCTCTCTCTGTCTTTCTGGCGAGTGCATGTGCCCTATAGCAAAAACCTCTCAAAGAAAGAAGAAGAAGAGTCAACTGGGAAAGGCTGTATAGGGCAAGAGTTCCTTCCCTGGAAACTATGGACTGCTAGAGGATGGGGTTCAGTAAGTCCTAGAAGCCACCTCCGAGGTTGTGTACAATATTATGTGTATGTGCATAAGTGATTTTTTTTTCTGGAAAGAAGATCCAAAGCTGTTATCAGATTCTCAAAAGAGGCTGCGAGCCTAGAAAGATTAAAAGCAATTCACAGGTGGGACCAGCAGTTGGCATAATGGCTATGTCGCTGGACTCCCATGTAGCCGATTGAAGTTTGAGTCCCAGACCTGGTGGCTTAAACTCACGCCAGGCACGTGTGCATGTGTGCCCAAGATCCCAAGAGGAGAATGGAGGAGAAGGGGACTGCGGCTTGGCCATCCCCCCTGGGGGGTGATTCCTCGCTTTCTGTCTCTCTGTCTCTCTCTGTCTTTCTGGTGAGCACATGTACCCTATAGCAA